TTGGGTCTAGATCTGAGTTTGGATAAAAAAAAAACACCTTTAAGGAATAAGCACTTAATGTGAAGGATTGGACACAAAAGGAGTACGTTAGGCATACTGGGCTGAGACCCCATGGTTTGGAAGGGTTGCGACTACGCCCAACATAGTGACTGAGTATGCGGGGCGTACTCAGTCTGCTTTGATGACTTTTTGACTTTCTAACATTGCCCTTTGACCTGGGGTTTGAACTAAGGGCATTTTGCATATTTTGAGTAGTAGTTGGAGTTTAAGGCCATGTTATTTGTGTAGGTGATCTGTAGAGGCAGTATTCAGAGCAGTATTTCGTCCAACTATCTTTTCTAACCGTGAGGTGAGTCTTCCTCACTGTACTCGTGGGTCGAAGGCACCAATGCTGACCTACTAGGTTATGTATCCTTGTATGTAGGATGTTGCTATGCTATAGTGATATATAGATCTATAGAATAATATGTATTATTATATGTTTTATCAGTTGTATATGTCGGCATTCTACGGTTTGGGTTAAGGCTTCACTATTATGTGCGTAAGCCAACAAACCCTGCATACCAGTCCAATGACTGATTAGGCCGCCTCAATCTAGTCTGATAATTGTGGGTTGGGGGTAGTTCAGGTCGATGATTATGGACCTGAGGGTAATCCTTTCCGATGATTGTGGACCCAACACGTATGTTTGTATACGATCTGTTACATGGGATATTTTAGGGATACTCATTAAGCATTGGTTTACAGTTTATGTGTTATGTTCCAGGTACTTCTGATGATCGGGGTAAAGCAAATGCGTAATCGTACACATCCTTCGGTGACTTCTTTTTGAGATTTTATGATACATTAATTATGGGATATGTGTAGTTGATACTTGATTTCTTATGATTTGGTTTTTGAATGAAACAGTGGTTTTATTTTAATTGAAAAAAATACCATGATTTTTGGGATGTTACGACTAGCATATGTCACTCCCCCCAGTGCACTAGATGAGAATCTTAGGATGTCTGGACGTATAGCTTGGAAAAGCATTCATAAATTATGAAAGCATGTCATAAGATTGTATGGTCTACGATATTTGTGTAAACCTACTTGTAGTGATGTGCAACAGTTATATGCTCAACATTCGAATGTGTACGGCTTCCCTAGAATGTTAGGAAGCCTAAATTCCCTCCATTGGGAATGGGCAAATTACCCGAATGCAAATCAAGGTCAATACACTTGAGCTGATTATGGTTATCCAACTATCATACTTGAAGCGGTGTCCTCAAAGGATTTGTGACTATGGCATGCATTCTTTGGCTATGTTGGTTCACTGAATAACATAAAATGTTCTTAACATGTCCCTGTTATTCGATGACATATATAACGGGATTGCACCAAATTCTTCTTTTGTTTTTCATGGAACGTCGTATAGGTAGGAGTATTATCTTGTGGATGGGATATATTTGGAGCATTCGTGTTTTGTGAAGTCATTGTCTTGTCCATTAGATCGAAACAGGTTAAAGTTTAAGAGAGCTCAAGAGAAGGCATTGAAGGATTTTGAACGAGCGTTTGGCACTCATAAAAATGTTAGCATATACTGAAATGCCCTATGGTTTTTGTTAAAGAGAAGAAAATGAGTGAGGTGATGTATACATGTATCGTATTGCATAATATGATTCTCGAAGATGAATGAAATGCAATATATAAGTATAATGAAAATGATATCCTCCCACCAACACAAACATTTAAGGTTGGAAGCAGCGAGTACTTAGCAAGATGATGAATACTTTATGATGTTGAGATCCATCATGATCTTCATAAAGACTTAACGGAACATACTTGGACCGTTGACCACATCGATCTTAATGTTGAACCATCGATTATTTAGAAGGTCAATATTCTGATAAAGATGACATCTAGGTTTATCTATATTTCGTATTTTAACTTCTAGGTTTCGTAATTTTGATTTCTATGTTTTGTATTGTTAAATTTTGTGTTGTTTTTTAGGTTTGTTGTAATTTCCTTACAAGTTCAATGAAATTTTAGTTTTTATAAAAATATTTTGCTTAAATTGATTATATTTTATATAAATCAATTTTAGAAAAAAATAGCATGGAAAAAGTAGCAACGCACGCCCTTTAAATAACCAACTTTTGTAGCAGCATGATGAATCCTACGTGTTGCCTACATGTACCGTGACAAATGTGGCACCATTCATTTTAACCTAGTAGACTCTAACATACTCGATAGAACAATATAGGCATGAAATGGATCATTAGTTCCTTTGTCACTACACATTTCACCCTAAACCCTAGTGTCTCCATCAGGTTTCTTGTTAGGTGTACTAATGCTTATGATCACTACAACTAAAAATACAACCATTGACATGACAATGTTTTTAGATTTTTGCTTCGACTATTATTAGCATGTACTAGGATTATGAAAAGGGATAATGACTTAAAAGGGTAATATATTCTTCGATTTATACAAATTTGGTCACTGAGTTTATTTTTTGTTCACATTTACCCATTCAACTTGTTAAACTGTACACATTCAGTCCTTATGATTGGTTATTTCAGGTTAACCGGTAAACATGTCTTAATAGGGTAATATATTTATCATTTTATACACATTTAGTCCTTAATATTTTTGTACACATTTAGTCCTTCAATTTTTTTTTTGTTGCAAAACAATTTATTTTTGTTTTTGTACTCATTCAATACTTATGAATATTTTTTTTAGTTTTTCTCACAACATCTTACATGGAACAAACATTAACAATGCGTTTTAGGATTTTGATACTTATGTCCATCGTGATCTCGACTACTTATTTATTTAGGTCATGTGTTTTAAACGTCATAACGTTTTCATACTATCTCGACTACATATTTTTGTACACATTTAGTCCTTCAATTTTTTTTATTGCAAAACAGTTTATTTTTGTTTTTGTACTCATTCAATACTTATAAATGTTTTTTTTAGTTTTTCTCACAACATCTTACATGGAACAAACATTAACAATGCGTTTTAGGATTTTGATACTTATGTCCATCGTGATCTCGACTACTTATTTGTTTAGGTCATGTGTTTTAAACGTCATAACGTTTTCATACTATCTCGGATTTTAACGATCTTTATATCTATGCGTTTTATTTTAATCTATTACAACTTTCGTTTAGATTACTTCCGTTAAAAAGTAATATATTTTTTAATTATGATCTTTATATCCATACGTTTTTTATGAATACATGTATGGATGTTTTTTATAAAATCGTAAGTAAAAACATATCATATTTTAATGAGAGTAATGTTAACGAAAGTTATAACAGACTTAAAAAACGAACACGTAGATATAAAGATCGTTAAAATTAGATATTGTATGAAGAATTTACGACGTTCGTAATACAAAACCTAAGCCAAACCACAAGACCTATGCAACCAAGCAGTCGAGGCTGCGATGGACATAAGCATCAACAACCCCAAACACCTCATCAATCAGAGACGGATGCAAGATTTGGTAGTAGGTGTTGCCGGTAAGTAGAAAAAAAAATATCGAAAAATATCAAAAAATTTACACTGCATATAAAAAAAGCAGGAGTTGTCAATGCCACCGCGGGCACCCAAACAGAACCGTGTCTGTCATCAATGATAGTCTTATGTTAGATGTCATGAGAAAAACCCTAAATAAATCATTCATAAATATTGAATTGGTACAAAAACAAAAAATTACTTATTTTGAAACAAAAAAAATATTAAGGACCAAATGTGTACAAAAATATTAATGACTAAATGTGTACAAAATGAGAAATATATTACCCTAATAAATAATTTTTCCCGGCTAACCTGGAGTAACCGGTCATAAGGACTGGATGTGTGCAGTTTAACAAGTTGAATTGGTAAATGTAGACGAAAAAAAAAACTCAGTGATCAAATGTGTACAAATCGAAAAATATATTGACTTCAATGGAATGGACCCTCGTGTAGAGAATTCTGAATATGAAAGAACATTTTTGAAATATAAAGAACATCTTAGCAATGTATAATCAAAATGATACATTGTAAGGATATCTTACTTAAAATACTTTTTTGGTTAATAACCTTATGATAAAACAACAAACATATGTGATGTCACTTTTGAATAGAAATTTTTTTCAAAGAACATTTCCAAAATATGATAAACTAGATTCTGTGATGCTACAAAAATATATAAATAAATAAATAAAATAAAATAATAAATAATAAATAAATAAACCGACCAAATTCAAAAAAAAAAAAAAAAAAAAAAAAAAAAAAAAAAAAAGAACACACGCCAAAATCAAAACCAAATATATTCTCGTAAAGGCCATTAAAAAGTGATAATTAGTTGAAAAATCAATGATATAAAATATTTCAGAGGTAAAGAGTCTATTTTTGTTTCCAAATGTTTGGTCAAATGAAAAAAGATTACATCTTTAGTAGATCTGAAATCCTAAAAGACTTTATTTCGGACATGGTGGTCGTCTCGGTTTTAGTAAAAGTGGAAATAGTGGGTCGGACGGTAGACTCATAACAAAATGTCATAGTAAGCACCCCAGAAAAACTGTACTACTCCAAAAAAAAAAACAAAAAAAATCTCACTACTACCCCTAAAAAATTGAGGGATAGCATGGGCTACTAGGGCTATTCAGTATTGGTATAAAACTAAATTATCCAAATGGACAATTTTGATTGAACTATTTGATTCGGATATTCAGATTTTTTTTTTTTATTAATTTTCAACATAATCGAATTATTAGTTTTGGTTTATAAAAATGGAACTGAATAATTCAAAAAAACCGAATAAAACTTTATTGTTTACTTATTTATATATTTTTCATGTTCACATACACCTTTTAACTATTTATTAATTACTAAATTGTATTCTTAACAAACTAAAAAGTATTATCCAGCAAAATACTATAATATATACTTCTCATAAGTATTTTTTTTTTCTATAAAATAATTGATTATAATACATTTTTAAATAGTTGTTCATAATTTTAATTCCCAACAAAACAATTTAATTTGTTTATAGTTGATTAATATTCATGTTATATATTTTTCTTCAAATGTCCTACATCTTAAAAAACCGAATTGTAAAACATATCCGAATTATAATTTGGTTGGTTCTAATCGCATTTGAATTTAGTTTAGATTATTTGGATACATATTTTGAAAACCAAAATTAATTCAGATTCACTGGATTGGATTGGATCAAAGTGATCCATCCAAACGAACATCCCTATAGGTTACCCTGGCTCCTTAGTAGACCCACCCTAAACTTGGATCATTAATTTATATTCTCGGTCATTTGATTATCCCTAAAAACAAATCTGTCAAATTTAATTACTAAAAAATAGAAAAAATCTTAAAACACAAATTAAATTATTATATTCAATAAGTTAATTAAAATCCCATAATTCACATCAAAAAAAACTCTGTTAGCATCGCATCATGAGTGAACCCGATCAAACGTATAATTATCAACATGTTTGGTATAGTATTGGCTCTTATCGGTTTAACATTCTTGATGCACATTGAAAGCAACTGCTCTGGCCCAGAATTTGATCTGTGCCTTCATATCTTCTGATGACCCCTTGTCAACCCATCCTCCTGGAATTGTTGGTGCTCCACCATTGTTCTTCACTATTTTCATGGAGTTCTTGCTTCTATTCCTCTCTTTCATGCTTTCGAATTTCCTCATGCTACTAATCTTTTCTTGATTTCTTTCCGGATTTAGTGACAAATACCGTGGTAAACTCGAGCTTCCTTTCATAACCTGCAATCAATATCACTTTAATTATGAGTAAAACATTGTGATAACAACTAAATGCCAAATCAAAATTTCTGATCCGAATATACACTAGAATAACATCTTTTTTAACATAACATATGTATTTTTAAGTTATACATGTGAATACTCAACAGACCATGTAGGTTCACCCACGACTCTTATGAATATTAACAACACAATACCACTAGTAGGATGATATGTACCTTAGTTTTTTGTTGATGAGAATCCATATCAGAGGAGTTTAGAGACGCTTGCCTAATCAACCTCCCCATCTTGAACTCACTCTCTTCATCTTCAATATCATCATCTTCATCGTTTCCAAATCCAAAAGTTGGCATGGACGCTTTATTATTCAAATTAGGAGTAGGGATAGGGTTTCTCTTTTGTGAAGAAAAGCTTGAGCCTTTTTGCTTGTTCGACGACTCTTTGATCAAGATTTCTTGATCAGGAAGATTAGAGCAACATCTAGACATTGGAGTTGTTGTGTAGAATAAGGTTTGCTCCATGAGATGGGGTTGTTTCTTTGACGTTCTTGTTTGTGTATGTGGAGGGGTTTTAAAGGGTTGTCTTGCCAGCCCACATAAATATATAGTACCAAACTTATAAGCAATATATGGTGTGAGTTCTTGACGATTTGTTGTGATGTTGGAGAAAGCTGTCAGTGGGGGGTGATTGTGATTGGAGGGATCAAGTGGGCCATGTGGATTTGAAATTGTTGTAAAATTAAATACACTCGTAATAAATGGTGTTTGATCGTTCTATTATATACATTATACAGTCATATCATTTTTGTTTTTGAATATTTTATAAATAAATTAGAATGATTAGTATCCAATAACTATACGGGGTGGTTGGGTCTTAACTATAAGATTTGTTTATTTTTTCAAGAAATAGTTGGTAGTAATTTCCTAAATAAATATCCAAGTTATCAAAATTACCATTAACTTTGATTATGAAAGATTTCGTAAAAGATAAATTAATTCATATGAAATTTTTATATGTTTTTTTTTCTACTTTGGTCTATAATATTCGTTTAATATCTCATTAATGATGGTAAATTTGACTTCTCTTCCTAACCATCACATTTGTAACTTGTAAGCCAAGAGAAGCTTCTATACCCAGGTCATTCAAGAGAATTTTTACATTTAAATATTTCTATTTACAATGCAAATTACCACAATAATATCATATTATCTTACATTACTTAAGGTTATTAATATCAAGTTAACTTGAAGTTGCAAATCATGGATTGATTGGGTATTGGTGGAGGGAATAAAGGGAGTGGGTGTTTCCAGCAAACCTCCCATGTGCTGATTCTTTGTTTATGGACTACAATCATACCATGTTCAAACTACAAAATTACACAAAACATGGAATCAAAGTTCTCAACCAAAACAATAATGAAGTTATATATATATATATATATATATATATATATATATATATATATATATATATATATATATATATATATATATATATATATTATTTTGAAATAAATGTTGTAAATAGTATAAAAACTTAAAACATTATATTTATGTTATTATTTTGCAATAAATGTTGTAATTTGTATTGTTGAAGCAATTTTAATTTGAATATTAACGTTCTTTATTCATATATATTCATTAGAACGTTATTATTCTATTATAAATTTATGTATTTGTATTTTTATAGTAAATTCTAATTTTAATTTTAACATGTGAATACATATTTATTCATTTTTAATAATGACATAAAGTTGTACATACAAAAAGAATTACAGAGTAATAATATAAGAATAGTGTTTTTATGTTTTCATACTATTTACAGTTTTTATTTAAACTATATATATATATATATATATATATATATATATATATATATATATATATATATATGATGTGGATCCGGTGAAGACTAAAAAAAATAGTAAAGACTGCGAAAATATTTCTCCACTACCCACTTCATCAAAAACACAAACTTCAAAACCAATACTTAGACTTGACGCATTCGCATGCGATGCACGTCCGTAAAACGTAATACGGACTCGATGATTTAGTCACATATGATGAACATCCATGTGTTATTTTAGTGGGGTTTATTCCTTAATTTCATTTTTTTAATTCTTTTTCAAATATATATATATATATATATATATATATATATATATATATATATATATATATATATATATATATACACACACACACACGGTTTTCAGGATTTTTATTTTTATTTTATTTTCTTTTTATTTTCTTCATTTTTTTATATATTTCTTTTAATGTCTTTAGTACATATATAAATTTTACTAGAGTTTTTTTTTAAGGTTGTAAACTAAATATAGTTTTAAGTTTTTTAATGTTTAACAATTATAAAAGCCTTAAATCATCAAAATACTAAACATCAAAATAGTTTCAGATTATTCTATTTTCGGATTGTATCATTTATGAATCATAAAATTTTGGATTGAATTATTTGGAATCATAGTATTATTGGTCAAAAAACATTTTAATCACATGAATTTTGATTCGTAAAAGATATAATTAACGATCATAAAATATTTGAATCAAAATACTTTTAGATCATAATAAATAAGGGATTATAAACATGTTTGTTACATCATATTTCTTTTAAATCATAAATATTTTAAATCATTTATGTTACATCATAATTTCTTTTAAATTTTAAATATTTTAAATCATTTCGTTTTGAATCAAATTATAATCAACAATTAAAATAATAATAATAATAAACTTGTAATCTTTTATAATAAACTTTTCTATCTTAACAACCTTTATTTTTTTAAATTTCTTTTCAAAAAGTTCATAATATATTATATATAATAAACCTTAAAAATGATTTTTAATTTGAAAAACGAAAATTTTTAAGTCTTATTTTTAATAAAATATTAGAATCAATTAAACAAAACGTTTGTATTTTTAAACATAGTGATTTTGAAAATTTTGTTCTACAAACCGACTAAAATAGTATTGCGAAAAAAACTATGTCATTTGCTTTTCTGAAATTAGATACAAAAATTGTTTTATTTTTATGAAAAAAAATTATTCTTAAATTAAAATATAAACACCTGAAAAAATTATTTTTTAAAAGTTCTTTTTACAAAGTCACTATTATAATGAATAGATATATACCTTAAAATTATATAATTTTTGAAGATTGTTTTTCTATGTTTTTTCTTAACAAATAAAAGTTAAAAAAAATATTTTTTTTAACTTTTCATTATTATACTTATTTTGTAGAGAATGAAATTTTAAGAACTCTTATTATTTAAAATATCTTTAAAAGAAAACAAAGAGGTATACTTGATAAACGAACCAGTTGGAAAAAAAAAAATTAATAAAAAATTAAAAACTCAACTAATTTAATGGACGACACGTTGCAGAGATATAAAAGGGTGGGGGAGTTGGATGAGCATGGTTGCTCAAAAAAATTCATTTTTTATTTAATTTCAAAACACTTAACATTCGTTGGAAATTATACCTCGCACAAAATTATCAAAGTGTCATATTTTATCGTGAGATTTTACCGATAAATAAAATAAAATATCCATATTATATTTATTCGATTTTTCGGTAGATATTTGTCCTCTTAATCCTCACCAATTTTGAGTTATCGATTGATCCTATATATACCGTTTTTTGTGTTTCTTGAGAAAAAATATATGAATTTTAATTGTAAAGATCAAAAGTGTCAAAATGGTTAAAAAAATAAGGGATTATAATTAGAAAGTTTTTAGAAAATAGTCTAAAGTTGTCAATTCATTAAAGTTTTGTGACCAAACTTTGAATATTAAAAGGTTCTTAAAAAATATATAAAATTTTATTGAAATGATCAAAAGTATCAAAATAATTAAAAAAATAAGTGGTAAAATTGACAAAAAAACATACAAATTTACTATTCATAACAGAACAAAGTTATATATATATATATATATATATATATATATATATATATATATATATATATATATATATATATGAGAAAAGTGAATATGTGGCTGTTATGTACGTAATGTTAGGTATAGAACCATCAAAATTGACTTCATTTTGATTAAAAAACACATTTTTCTTTCATTGTTACTTCTTCCTATTGTCTTTGAACTGATATTATATTTGATTTCATGATTCATCTCAAATATTTATCTATTTCGAATGTATTTTTTTTATTAAACCTCTAATAGGTTTCATAACTTCCTTCAACACCTATCTTACGTATACTTGTACGATTTTTCTATGACGGCTTATGGAAAGAGGTTTAGTGGGTTTTTTAATGATCAATTTCAGTCTTTTAATGTAGTTTTCTTTATTAAATTTTAATTTGGAGACCTATAAGTAGTTGGTAAAATATTTTTTTACATCGTTTGTGGCGCAAAATTAAATTTATATTTCCGTAAAAATTAATACAAAGCTTAGCATAAGCTCTAATAAAGGATACATGAAAGATGATAGAAAGATTTGATTACATTCTTTTAAAATTGTATAGTTTTTCTTATGGATCTATATCTAATATTAAGTAGATGACATCCACATATTCCCTAATTCATATATATATATATATATATATATTATATATATATATATATATATATATATATATATATGTGTGTGTGTGTGTGTGTGTGTGTCTTTACTCCATATCACTTAACAAAGTTATATATATATATATATATATATATATATATATATATATATATATATATATATATATATGTATATATATATATATATATAGAGAGAGAGAGAGAAAGAAAGAGAGAGAGAGAGAGAGAGAGAGAGAGAGAGAATCAAGATAAAATAAGAAGGAAATTTTTGGTAGGAAGGTAAGAATTTTTTTTCTACATATTTTTTTCGCGAACAAACAAAATGAATCATTAGATGATTCATTTGTAAGATGATTCACAAGAAAAAATTCTCAAAAAAACACCTCGATGATTCATTTATATAATGATTTTGTTGTTATTCACTAAAATTATCATAAAAGTGAATTTTTTCTTAATTTACTTAAAAATAAATCATATAGATGTTTTTTTGAGATTTTTTCTTATGAATGATCTTACAATGAATCATCTAGTGATTCATTTTTTTTGTTCGTCAAAAAAATATGTAGAAAAAAACTTCTTACCTTCCTACCAAAAAAAAAATTCTTACCGGATATATATATATATATATACTACTTATAAAAGAAATCTAACTATTTCTATAAATAGATTGAATATAATAATATTATTTTTTTAAGACGTCCAAACTATTAAGCTTGAAGTACAACCCATTTATAATATAATAATATTAAAACTTTAACCATATCCTTTATCCCTTAAAAATCTCGTATCAAATTAATAGAAGAATTCATTTGCAAATTGATCCCGTCAATCTCAACACTTCAACCATTTGAAGCGGTCAATGTCAACAATCAATCTTGTGAACTAATCGAGACCGAAATTGGAGAAAGAGATACGAACGGAAAGGAACCAATTCCGTGTATCCAGTTAAGCAAGCCCCGCCGCCAGCTTCCACCCAGAAAAAAAAAGTGAGCAGAGGATCTCTTCTCTCACATTGGTAACAAACAATCTCATAATATCTATCTTCGTAATCCCTTCAAAGTAAGAAATATACGCACACTCTCTCGAAG